ACTCCCAGTTTATAAGCCTACTCATTTAATTAAATGAAAAGATGAATGCAGTCAAAAAAGAATGCTTTAGACGCCTATCACCACACCTACCCATCTACCTGTACCTGTGCCACACACTTTGTCTCAGTTCCTTTTAATTATGATTGTTTCTCTCCATGCTCCCAGCTCAGACCAACCTCTCCACTTGTCTGCTCACTGGATCCACTCCACTGGTCTCATTTCCTCTCCTCTACTCCAGGACACTGCTCTAATAATTCTCCCCTCTCTATTGTATATTGTCAAAATTTCCCCTCTACTGGGTTATCTCAATCAGCATAAAAAACATGCTATAATAATTTCCATCTAAAAAACAACAAAAACACCAAAAAATACCTCTCAACCCCATATCTACCCCATGTCTCCACAACCCTTACATAAAACTTGGAAGAGCTGTCAACTTGCTATATTCAATTCATCTCCCCTCAGACATCCTCTATGGCTTACTCTGTCATTTCCTTCAGGTTTTTGCTTATATATATCACATTCTCATTGAGGTCTTTCTTGACCGTACTAACCACACTATTTAACACAGCATGATCAAAATTTGTGGGATGCAGCTAACACAGTGCTTTGAGAGACATGTATAGTATTAAAATGTTTAAATGTTACATTAGAAAAGGAGGAAGATCTCAGGTCAATGAGCAAAAAGCTTCCAACTTTAAAAGTAGAAAAAGGGCAAATTAAACCCTAAGCAAGTAAAAGGTAGAAAATAATAGAGTAAAAATTAATAAAAGACAAATTACCAAAGCTCACGTAAGAATACACAGATAACCTGAATATCCTAATATCTATTAAAGAAATTGAATTCATCATTAAAAACCATCCCACAAAGCAAACTCCAGACCCAGATGGAATGTACCAGCTAGGAGGCTTCATTGGTAAATTCTCCCAAACACTTAAAGAAGAGCTAATACCAAATATAACAGATTAATTCACAGATAAATCCAGAAAATAGAAGAGGGAGAAAAACTTTCCAGTTTTTATGATACAGAAATCAGACTTTACAACAAAAGAAAACAACAGAACAATATCATACACAAGTCTTACAAAGAGATTGCACAGGGTCTCTGGGGGCCTGTTACCTGCAGACCTTGGTTAAGGGTGAGGGGTGTGAGTGGTTGTGGAGATGGCAGAATACAGAAAATGCTCAGAGCAACTTTTAGTTAGAAGCATCTTCCTGAGCTCTTCTGTAAAACTGCTTTTCAAGAAAACTGGATTACAGATCCGAGAAGTGGAAAAGTGAAGTGAGTCAAAGGTACATGGCACTGTGATTGTGAAATAGTAGGTGAGTGGGAAATAAGGCCACAGGTGTGCTCTGCCCTGTATGACTTGGGTGCTCCTTTAAGGCCTACGTATTTTCCCACAAGATACAGGCCAGGCTGGCCTGGGTTGGTGCTTGTCAAACATGTCTGCCACAAAAATGATCAGAGTTCTCACAAGCACAATGGGAGAAGCAGCAATACAGAAGATAAATCTGAGGAAGCAGAAGGAATAATGAACAATTCCAGAAGTTACTTCTCAATTCAGTTAGTAAGTACAAAAAAGAAAAATAAAGAAGAAATGTAGATAAGCAATGGCTTTAAATACTTAATTCACCCCTCGCATTGATTTCCAAGAAAGGCCATAAACCAGGCTATATGAATTATTAAAGTGCCAAATTTAGGCTGCCTGGTTGGCTCAGTTGGTTAGAGAGTGGTGTTATAATACCAAGGTCAAGGGTTTGGATTCCCATACTGGCCAGTTGCCAAAAAAAAAAAAAAAAAAAAAAGAATAAAGTGCCAAATTTGTACTTGTATTAAATATGTAATGCTCATTTTTACATAATGAACTAAGAAAAATAAAATATTAAGTGAGATAATCTCCAAAATTCCCTCCTCTGATTTTAAAGCCTCAATTGTCAGAAACCTCCTGCTGTTGAGGTTTTGTTTTTCTGTTTTTGTTTTTCCTTCCTGGCCAACATGAAGTGGCTTTGAATTTTAAAATGGAAATATTTAAAGCAGCTACTATATGCTAAAACTTGGGCACATCACATCCACAAGCAAAACATAATGTCTGGGACATGTGGGTACAGATTCAGGTGCTTCCCCACTCAAAACAGTTTATAAAACTGTTTCCATGTAAAAGTTTGTGAGACTGGGACTCTGCTCTGATGGAGATAGGTCCCTTTTTGATAAACAGAGTGAGAGAGTGCAGCCACAAAGTAGAAGGCAATGTACAGAGAGAGCTGACCTACTTCCTTTCTTACTGAAGATAACAGCAAATCACCAAAAAAATGTGGGTGCTTTTTTACCCTCAGCAACAAATAGAGCCACTTTCAGGTTATTTATTCTCTACTCAACTTTAATATCTCAAATATTTAGAGTTAAAAGTTGCTTAACTGCTAAAAAATAAGTATTTTAGAATGGACTTTCCCATTTCTGAAAGTTAATTTGCTATCGTGCAAACTGGAAAATAGGGATAAGAACTCCTCTTATGGTACCATCTGTCATTTTTTCCCCCACCAGAATAGAAAAATGAGGTGCAGGAGCCTAACCACCCTAAGTGTGGGTGGGGTCAACAGAAAAGAGCTCCCAGCACAGGGACCAGGGCTGCCTGAGTGCAGCAGCCTGGGTGTGAAGCACAAAAAAAATCCTAAAAACACCGAACATCTATTCCACACTGTGGACAGATGTCAACAGTAGCTTTAGAATAGAGAAATATGTATTTTAATAAAATGTCTACAGTAGCACATTAAAACACCATCTAGAACTCCTGGTGAATTAACTAACTTAGCTAGTTAACTCATTGGTTGATTAATTAACTTGCCTAGACTCTGCAAGGAAAGACCTCAGGACTAGGACCCCTGGTGCCTACGATCATTGCCCACATTAGGCTGAAAAGTATGGAGAGGTCTCCATAATCAAAGCTCTTTTCCTCAGAGGGCTACCTTGACAGAGAAGTCTTTTAGGTATGAAACACATGGGCCAGGGCAGGCCAGATGCAGCTCACAGAACAGTTTGATTTATTTCTCTCAAAGATTTTCAAAACTTTAAATTAGTTACCAGTTGCTTAAAATTGAGACTTGGCAGAAAAATCAGAATTTCTGAGTTTTCCTTGAAAATAATGAAAGGATCTGGCAGTAATGGTCTGGGGTAGAGTCATAGTTGTGTCACTGAAAAGCGGTACATGCTGCCCAGTCTGCCACTACCATGCATGTCAACACCTACTGTATTTGCCATTTCTGGACTTGCCCACCCTGTATAGGAGCAAGGGTAGGAATGAGCCCAGGTGAGAACATGGAGAATAATCATGCCTGGAGAGACACCTGGAGAAACATCCAGGACAGATACCCAACACCAAGTGTGGTCTGGGCACTCTGTCCAAAGCCCATTCCTGCTGATGTCTTTTTTAGAGGGAGAAATGAAACTGCAAAGGAGGAGAAATAATGCTTTCTGAAGCAAATGCAAACCCCATGCAACATAGCCTAGTCACACGATTCACGCACACCAGAATTTTCATTAGGATCTACTAGACTCTCCCTGTGATTTTTTTTTCTGGGCTTTAAGATCATTTATATAAATACTCCTGGTAGGTGTGATCAGCTATGTTACCATCTGTTTCCTCAGACCGAAAGCATTGTCGCTTTTCTAGCATTTCAAAACCAAATGGAGAACCAAAGACATTAAAAACGAAATGCTGATAGGGTAAAATGGCAAACTTGAGGAAAGAATGCCAAATCTTTAGAAATCCACTCTAAATTTATTTCATACATATTGGTCATCCATGAACTTTCTGGAGGTGGTGATTAAATCCATTAAGCTTTTTATCTGTATAGCTATCAGTCACTGGCAGATTTCATGACTGGATTAAAGCCACATGGCTGGGAATTAGAACAAATGTCCTAACTAATCTATGAATCAGTTAGAATCAGGGTTGATAACCACCAAGACAGGCTTTACTTATTCTGGTTGCCTACCTTGAGTGTTAGGGATTACTTATATAAAAGAGCCAAAGGAATGGTCACGGTAAATTTTAAAGTTGGTTGCAGACACAACATAGAAACTTCATTCCTGTGACCTCTATGCCATGACTCCAGTTCCACTACTTACTCCTCTTTATTTGTGGCTACTGACATCTAGCAGGACACATAGATAGTAGTTAATATAAGTCTTCAGAGCGTGCCATGAGCATTCTCTACTTGCACTGCTTAGAAATCCTTATGAGTGGCAAGGAGTATCAGGCCATACAGAGTCAACTCCCCTCACAGGAGGCAGGCAACACATTGGGTGCTTCAAAAAAAGCCTTCATTGTTATATGTGCTTCAGAGTCTTTCTAGAGTGCCAGATGCTTAACACAGCCTAATCACCAGTCTTCCAACATGCAATTATAAAGAGAGAAAAGTTCTTGAGCTTTTTCTTCAGGAGCTGGCTGAATTAAGTTATATATATATATACATATACATATACATATACATATACATATATATACATACACATACATATATATATCATAAGGCTACTTAGGACTTTACAGATTAATGGGACTAGCTCTTGAATCTAGTTCCCTGCAACACAGAGACCGAAATACCAGCCATTAAGATGGAGCATAGGTGGACAGCTGTTATACTTTCAGGATGCAGGGTAACCATCGTGGTTCCTATACTACCAGATGCTGCAGATAGCCCTCCCTCAAGCAGGGTGTAGAGTGAACAATGTGGTAACTGCCACCCCCCACTTTCCAGTAATAGAGGACACTATGCATTTTTAATAAAGGGCAAGGAGGTAATAATACGTGATGACCTGAGGAAATGTCACAACGTTAAACATAAGTTCTTCCAAACTGTGTGGGCTCTGTGTCAGTGATTTATCCCCAGGACTTCTCAAATTCTAAAAACAAAATAAAACTTAACAAAATAAACCTCATTTCCACTCTAACCAAAATTCAGTTTGGTGATACCATAAACATTGCCGGTTGTACTCTACCTGAGGACAGAGCGCTTCTAACTGACTTGCAGACATTCGAACAAGCTTTACGCCTTCTTCATTGTTTGAGATGGAACAGGCCAAGTTGGCAACCTGTAAAATGGAACAACACAGAAGATCTTTGAAGACTTTTCTCTTTCGACTGCTGAGGAAAACAAGCATATATCAATCCTTACCCGACCTTTCCAGAACAGATGACGGGAGCACCAATGATGCTTCACTTCTCACAGACTAATTATTTGCTCATGAGGACACATTTTAAAACTCTGAATTAAGCAAATCAAACAGACTTGTATCACATGTCACATTATACGTTAGTGGCAGAACCTTCAAAGATCCCAGGGCCTATAACTCACAGGCTTTGCATGGCCTCTAATCTACCTAAGAGCAATTTCAGAAAGAGGTTCTCCTGCTGTGGGCAGTAACATGAGAAAAGCTCAGGAACCAAGGGCTTCAGGAAAGAACTGGTTGGTATCCTCAAATAAAAATGTATTCTGCCTCTGGAAAATGTAAACTAATCTATACTGACAAAAGGAAGATCAGTGGTTTCCTAGGGAGGAGAGTATGGGAAGAGGAAAAAAAACTGGTTGGTATCCTCAAATAAAAATGTATTCTGCCTCTGGAAAATGTAAACTAATCTATAGTAACAAAAGGAAGATCAGTGGTTTCCTAGGGAGGAGAGTATGGGAAGAGGAAAAACGGAGAAATTCAAAAGGGACACTGGGGAAATTTCTGGAGGGTAATAAGTATGTTCACTATTGGTTAATAGTTTCATAAGTATACTCATATGTCACTATCAAATTGTATGCTTTAAATGTGTACAATTTCCTATATGTCCATTACAATGCAATAAAGCTGTTAACATTTTTTAAAAAGGAAAAAATGCATTTTACAGCTGTTGTTAAAGGAAGGAAATCAAAATTCTAAAGTTGCTATTCTCATTTGACAGGTGAATGAATGCTTAGTTTAAATTAAGATGAGTTTTACTTAAACAACAAGGCTATTTTTCAAATAAAAAAAAAATAGCATGAAGACGACATCAAGATGAACCCAAGGCCATCTTCATCAAAAATGGAAAAGAAGACAGGGATGATGTTCCATAGTTAAGAAAAAAATGTCCTTCAACTGGGATCTAAAAAACATTGACCAGTGAACTCTTTCTTGGCTGATGCAGCTTAATTTGAACTAAAATCTTTACCTTCCCACCCACCCACTTCAATGATACAGCTCATGTAACCAGAAACAATCTTTCCAAGTTGTGCCATACTTCCTTTGCTGATGGTCTGGCTGGGCTGAGAATAGAATGTTGCTCTGTAGTGACCGCTAAGGCTGTGATCACTTATCCATGTTTCTAAATGAATAGGCTTGCCAATTCCATTAGTAATACCAGGACCCAACTGAATACAAGGTACTGAGACACATCTTTACCCCCATTGAAAATGAAGTTATGAATGATAAAGATATATGCACTTTCAGGGTATTTAAGTGCCAGAGTAAACAAGGGCAATGGCAATAGCCTCTGAGTTTCACTCCTCCACCCAACTTAAGCACATAAATACACAAGAAAAATTACACACTATAATGGCTGATGTTTGCAGTGTTACTGTTAAAGATGATCAGTTTTCTGTAAGACTGCTAACTATGAGAATCCTGTAATGCCTAATCACAAGGAGAAACAAAAGAAATAACATGCAATTTAAACACAGAAATGTAAGAAAATTGAACACTACTATTTATGGGGCCTTCAAAATCACATAAATGTATACTTCCTGAGACTTATAATTCTACCTTCTACTGTCAACTGGACCTGAACAAATAGTCATTTCTCTTCAGGATGACATTCTATAGAGATGACTGTAGATTTCTATTTGTTTGTTTAAAATTCACAAGATATGACCTAAGCTAAATTTTGTATAAGACTTAAAAAAAAAAAAGCGACACTGAGGGTTGCGATCCGTTGCCGGACACGAAAAAAAAGACAAAAAAAAAAAAAAAATTAGATGTGTTCATTAAAAGTCATATACAACTTCTATTGCAAACATAAAATTTGATGCTGATAACTAGCAACTGTCTCTGGTGAAGTGGGTGTACTAAATCCCAGAATGCTGCCCACTCCCATCTATTAGGCAGCCAGCCAAGTGTTAGATTCAGGACGGTCACTACAAGTACAATTTTATTTGTTTATATTCTCTCACTTTTATGACTCCTTAAAACTCACAAAAAATATTTAAGTTAGGAAGTGAAAGATTATATAAGTATTCTTTACTATAGCTCAGACACACGAGGGTGGTCTGTGGCTAAGGCTGAAATGGCTGACTTCTTTAAACCATCTTTTCTGTTTCCTGATACAAATCCTAACAAAGCAGAGGTTATGAAAGACTTGTTCTTTATTTTTAAAAAATTACTTAAAAACATTTCTGAAAGGGGTCGGCCCGGTGGCGCACTGCTACAGTGCGCTGCTTGTGAGTGCGGTGGCGCTCCCGCCGAGGGTTCGGATCCCACATACAGACCGGCCGCTCACTGGCTGAGCGAGGTGCGGGCGCAACACCAAGGGTTGCGGTCCCGTTGCCGGTCCCGGTCCGGTGCGGGCACGACACTGAGGGTTGCGATCCGTTGCCAGTCACGAAAAAAGACAAAAAAGAAAAAAAAAAAAAAAACATTTCTGAAGTACTGTTGAAGCAGTAATGTTCCTTAAGAGTACACTGCCTATTTCAGAAGGCCTGGAAGGAGGAAGCGGCACCTGTCACTGACAGTCTTCTTCAGATGAATGAACTTCAATTTACCCTCCAGGGACCAGGCTACTCACTTCCAACAATGACAAATGTGCAAATGCAACATTTTGACCATAGCTCTCTGAGAGGCTAACCTCATATACTAGTCCAGTCCTGACTACACTGAAGGGGGAGTGGGAGAGTGAGGGGAGAGGCTTCCTAAATGCCTCTTTCTCTGAGAAATCTGGGACTCCAGAAATTTGGGATAGCAGTTAGTACTGAGTCTAAAGAAGGGTCTGAAGTTTCAATTAAAAATACTCAGAGCAGCTAACTTCCACAGAGAACCCAGCAGAGCACAGACTTTGCAGTGATGAGCAATATCTCTAGATCTGTTCTGACAATACATTATTATATCTTTGCTACCACAGTTACTTGTGTATTAGCAACTTAAAAGTTTCTGATTCCTGCTAATCCAAGGGATGGACTAAGACTGACAGCATGACCATCAGCTTTGAGATCACAAAGCCTTCTTTAGCACTGTTTCTGCCTATCCCATGTGTGTGTGGACCGTATAGAAAAGCAGATTTCAGACAACCTGTAAACCCCTGATAAACAAACAGGCAAAGAACCAACCAAACAAACAAATAAAAAAACATCAGCCTTGTGTGTTGCTAGTTTCAGGAGTAGTCCAGTAACACTCTGAGCTGTTAAGGAGACTGTCACAGCAGGCTGCGCCATATCAACAAATGTAATATGTGTACCTGACAGAAAAGACAGCTTTTCATTTAGGGAAAGTTCTACTTTACTCCATAATGGATTATCTTTACTTAAATAAAATTTATTAAACGAAGATTTGTGTTGGAAAAATATCCCATTCTCCCACTGTAACTATTTCCCTCTACTGTACATGGACTGATCATTTCCTTAAGTCAAGCAAGCACAAACTACTTCCCATTTCCTTCAGTAACTGCTCCTGGATTCATATTTGGCTGAGTTGCTCAGTTGACCCTCATCCTGGAACCTCTGTAGGAAGAAAAGAATTTTTTTTGTTCTTGGTAATATGTTAACGACCTGCTCTCTCAACAGCTTATACCTACTATAGGAGTCAAACGAGTGAGAAGAGCTTTTAAGTCTAAATAATGACACCACAACCTAAGCAGGATTAACTGTACACTTAAAATGGGTGAATGTTACGGTATGTAAATTATACTTCAATAATCTTGTTTTTTAAGAATTCAGGGCTACACAGGTTAGAAACTTAGAGAAATGATCAGATGTTAGAAACGAGAAAGCAGAAATTCAGAGAGGTAAGAAAGCACTGAAAACAGTGCTCACCTTGGGGGTGGAAGGCATTCCATGACCAAAACTTGGGTTTTTAATGGGCCAGTGTCAGGGCCCTCATAAGGTAAATGCCTCAGGTAGATGCCTCAGATCAGAGACTTTGCATAGAGCTGGGACAGCCAAAAGGCAACAACCCTAGTGAAAGAGTGAATTAAGAAAAAAGTCACCACAAAAAGAAAAACAGTCGGATACTTGCCAGTCAGCATGCACTAAAGGAGAAGAAAAAGCCCCCCATACCCCATCCCAAATTCTAACAAAAAGCTTACTCTCCACAGAGGTTTAGATATACAAATAACATCATATGGTCCAAAAAACTTTTAGATTTAGGAAGGCATGTATTAGTAGTATCCCTAAGCAACTGGCCGAACAAATATAAGTGGAAATTTTCTCTAATGGAAGGTAATCTAAACCCAGGCCTCAAAGAATTCCCACACATAAAAAGCTAGGTATGTGAATGCAGAACTTAACAACACAGAAGGTACACAAGAAAATAAACCATCTTGGGCAAGAAAGAATAAGCAAAATAACACCTGTGTAATCAGATCCACAATAAAAGCAGATATTCAAATGACAAAAAGTAGAATATTAAAAAATATATTTATGTTAGTAGAAATAACATAAGGAAAACTACTGGAGGAAAAAAAAAAGAAATAACATCAGGATAAAGACACTCAAAAATGACTAGGCAGATTTGAAAAGAATCAAAATACAACTTCAAGAAAAAAATAATAACTTCTACCACTTCTAGGAATTAAAAATAACATTTACTAAGCACTGCTGAAAAGAGAATTCATAAAATGGAAAGTCAAACTGAAGAAATTACTCAGAAAAACCAAGAAATTTTCATGACATGGGAAATGCAAAAACCATAAAAGAAGTTAAGAGACATGCAAGATAAACTGAGGTCTACTATTTAACTACTAGGAATTTCAGAAGGAAAGAACAGAGAGAATAGCACGAGAAACAATACTGAAAGAGATGATGTCTGAAAAGTTTTCAAACTGGATGAAACGTAATTTTCAGACTTGGGAAGACAAACAA